GCTCAGTAGCAATTGAGACCTTGTCTAGTCCATTCCACATCTACCCTAATCCTCCAGGACACCAGAGGGTGTTGGAGTCTGGCCTGGCTCGGTGCATCCAATCCCAGTCCACACTTGTGCCAAGGGAGACTACAACCATTTCCAGATCAGAACACAGCCCCCATTCCAGGCCACGCGCCCCTTGGTGGGAACCTCAACCCAGCTATGGTTGTCCCCTTAGCTCCCTAACCAGGCCTGCTCCCTGCCATAGATCACACGCATGGCAGTGGTTGCTCTGACTCAGCTTGGCTCAGCCCCTCACCTGTCCCAGCCTCTGCCTTAGACACTGTGGCTTAGCGTTCCTGGCTCATGCAGAGCAGTAGGTGCAAGAGCCTACTCGGCATGACTTGTGCTCCCTCTTTGTCTCTAGTTTCGCTTGTGGGCTAAGGTTTGCTCAGTCCTGCCTGGTCCACCCTGTTCCATTACCAATTGACACATTTGCCAGCTGTTGGAGCTACTTTGACCAGCTTGTCTGACCCCCAGGTCTGGACCACATGTTCATCAGCGGAAGTTCTGACTCGCCAAGGGAGTTTCCAAAGTTCCTCCACTTAATCCACTCCCAGACCCAGTTCTCATACATGCCATTGGGTTTAGGCCAGGTTCCAGCGAACTCTGACCTTCCATTTGGCCTTGTATGAGCTGGTGAACATTGCAGCCCGGCCCACCCCCCACCCTAATCAGAATGTACCTTTGGATGCTGCTGTCCTGACCAGTCCAGACTGTTGGGGGTTCCTTTACCTGTGATTGATGGCAGGCTCCTTGGTCACACTTAGTTTAGTCCATCACCACCCAAACTCTTGAGCTAACCAGTGGGGCTAGAATCTTAATAGGGTTTGGCCCACACATCCCCCCACAGAATCTACCCCCAGATATGGTTCTTGAGTGCTAGTTAATGTAATGGCCCTGCCTAATGTGACCCTTCTCCTGATCCATCATCATGTCAGGTACCAGGATATGATTCTGCAGGACAAGCCCTGAGCCATAGCTTTTGCATGGACTGTTATTTGGTGGTCTGCATTGTTCAGTGATTACAAGTTTCTCAAGGGAAGAGTTACTGTCATTGGGAATCTTTATGAATGCTTCACGTCCTAGAAGCACAATGGGTTCAACCTGGAGCTATCTAAGCAGTGATTCAAAGAACCAAAACCCCAGAGCTCCCGGCCGGGTGGCCAGCAAGTGGAGCCTGGCGCCAAATGGTACACTGGCCGCCCAGGGACAGCTCACCACGTGTACATGGTGGCTGGCGTCTGGGATCCAGGCATGAGACGCCCCGTCCTGACACCCACCAGCAGGGAAGTTTAAACTCCCAGGCCCAAGGTCGCGCCCCTCCCCAATCCCATTCACCACCCAATGAGGGCATCAGGTGGGTCCCGGACTTGCCCAGTCACCGAGGCCTCCCCCCTCGGTGTACTCACCCCGAAGGGAGCAGCATCTGGAGCCCAGGCAGGCCTGGGGACAGCTCACCACATGCACATGGTGGCTGGTGTCTGGGATCCAGGCATGAGGCACTCCGTCCCAAGACCCACCTGCCTTTTGCTTCCAACAACATGACTTTTCTTCACCTAATACTATACATACTGACTTTATCATAGCCTATGAATAACTGTAATCCCCCTAAAACTAGTATTCTATGTAGTACCAAACCACATTATATAGATGGTATATGGTGTGCTATGTGTTTTTTTAATGTACTTGAAATTCTACCCAGTATCTCTGAGGCATTTAAGAGTAGAAGAATGAAAGATTTATTTATTTATTTATTTATTTATTTATTTATTTATATTGCCCATATAAGTAAATAGACATATATGTGGATACATTTGCCTTTTTACCTGAATGGTAGCATAGTATATATACTGATCTATATTTTACATTTTGAACTAAAATCCTGAACATTATATAGATCACTATATATGTGTTCCAGTTACCTGTTGCTTCATAAGAAATCACCCCAAAGCTCAGTGGCTTAGAATAACTTTTAATTTTGCTTAATTATCTTTCATACTTCTGAGTTTGGCCTGGGTACAGCTGAAAATATGTTGCTTATGGCTACTCATTCAGTTTTGATCAGACAGTGTCTGGTCCTGGAGTCATCACAAGCCTTGCTCACTCCTGTATCTGGGAATTGAAACTGTATGGTTCATAGAACCTCATTCCTATAGCTGAAACAGTTACAAATGACTCCTCCCTCTCCCCACAGCCATGTATAGAGAGACTTTTTCCACATGTGAGAGTATAACAATGGCTAAGTTCTAAGAATAAATGTCCCAGGAAAGGAACAGGTTATGGGCATGCGTGTCTGGGTATTTGGGGAGAACATGCACACCCTGTCTTTTTAATGGAAGAATTATGAAAGTCACGATGAAAAAAGAGCTTTGGATGGAGCTGGTGTGGTGTGCCGGCATCCCATATGGTCATCAGTTCATGTCCCAGCTGCTCCAATTCTGACCAAGCTCCCTGCTTATGACTCAGGGAAACAGTGGACAATGACTGAAATTCTTGGGCCCCTGAATCCACATGGGAGATCTAGAAGAAGTACCTAGAACTCAGCTTCAAACATTGTGGTCATTTGGGGAGTGAACCAGTGGATGGAAGATCTTTCACTCTCTGAATTCTGTAAAAATATGCCTTTCAAATTTTAAGAGTGTTAGATAATTACTGTAGACATTTGGGAAAACACTATCTACCATACTCTAGGCACAGCTTGATATTTGTATAGCATTACATTATTTGAATATCATATTTAACCACTTTCCTATTAACAGATACTTGAATTTTTCCTAATCATGAACTGTCATAAGTAATACTATATGATACATCATTTCACATCTCTAGAAGAAATTCATCCCATAGATAAATTTGACTGGGAATTGATATATTAAAGCATGTATGATATAAGTACACAACACACTGAGTGTTTTTTTCCCTCCCCTACATTGATTTTTAATACATTTGCGGTGTTCTGCATCCTTCACTATTATCCATTTTACAACATCTCCATTACCCCCAAAAAGAAACCCACTCTCTTTATGCATCAACTCCCAATTCCTTCATCCCTCCAGCCTTCTTCAGTACTAATCAACTTTCTGTCTCTACAGATTTGTTTGTTTTAGACATCTTGTATTAATGGGGTCACTTTGAATTGGCATAATATATTGTTTTATTGATTTATTTTTCCATTGTTTTATTTTCAGGGTTTAGAAATTGTTGATATTTTTCCATGGGGTAAACATTATATGCATACACATGATCATTTTCATGAGTCCCACATTTTCTATATTAATGTTTTCTTTTCTAATCTTTATTTATTTATTCAAGAAACAAAAAAAGAGAGAGAGAGAGAGAGAGAGAAAGGATAGACAGAAAGAGAAAGCTTCCATTCACTAATTCACTTCCCAAGTGCCTAGAAACCCAGGAATGGGTCCAAGTCCAGGATCAGAAACTCAATTCATGTCTCCCATGTGGATAGCAGAAGCCCAGTTATTTCAGCCATGCCTGCTGAGCCACTGCACCAAAATGCCCTTCCAAGCATAGTATTTTCAAGTTTAGTCTGTGTGGTAACATGCATCAGTACTTCATTTATTTAACTGTCAAGTGTTATTACCTATATATTTATACCACATTTTATTTATCCATTTTCAGTTGATTGATATTTGAGTTTTTTTTTAGCACTTTGTGGCTATTTTGTGTGATTCTATCTAAACATTAGTGTACAAATTAATGTGAATTTTTTTTTTCATTTCTCTTGAGCATGAAGCTAGCAATAGAAGCTGTCAGAACTCTTTCAGAATAGAGCTTTCAGAACTATCAGATTGTTTTCCACTGTTTTAATAGCATATGCAACAATATTATTGAACATTAATAGTTTGATAAAATTCTATTTTTATATTATTTTAATAAATATGTTTGTAAATAGACCACCAGAAGGAATATCTCAATTTTTACCCCTACTGGTAATATAGTGATAGTGCTTGTTGTCCAAACCCTCAATCAATGCAGTTCAATCCAACTGGGATTCTCTCTGATTGCCTATTCTATAGCTTCCCATATCTGTTTTCATTGTTAAAGGTCCTCTTGTTCCAAAGTTACAGGCTAATTGTCACAGTTTTTTTTTTCTTAGTAACTTTATGTGTTTTATGCATTTGGAATTAGGGCACGTACAGTGTAAGGCACAGATCTACCTTTTTTTCAGGTGGCTGTTGAAACCACAGAACCACAGGAAAGGCAAGGGGCAGAGACAGAAAAATCTACCATTTGCCCATTCCTCAAATGGCCAGGGGTAATACTGAAGCAGGTGCCCAGAGCTTTCTCCGGGTCTCCAGATGTGTACAAGGCCCAAAACCTTGGGCCATTTTTTGCTGCTTTCCAAGGCGATGAACAGGGAACTGGATCAGAAGTGCAACATCTGGGATACAAACTGCACCCCTGTGGGATGTTGATGCAAGCAGCAGTTTTACCTGATATGCCTGAATTGTGGCTCTTCTTCTTGATTGACTTTTAATCATTTTATAAATAATCTTTCATCATATATTAAATTCTCAGAACCCTTCATATACTTTTTTATAACATGTAGCTGAACTTGTGCTATAATGCATATAATCACGTTTATATAATCTTTAAAAATAAGCACGCATTCTCCTATTTTCTTCATTGGTTTATGAAATGTAACACACTTTCTACAGAACAGTAGTTAAGTCTTTAACTATAGCTGGATGGAGCATGTGGGAAGTATAAAAGGATCCATGTTTTCAAAGTACAACTGAAACTAGGCTTTGTCTTGTCTAGGCATTTATTTGGCTTGCGGAGTTGAGTGTTAACTTGTGATTGTACAAAGATTCTTTTTAAAAATTAACTTCCTGATGAGAAAATCCTATCAAAAATACTTAGATCCATTATAAGATTGAAAGAGAAGATTGTTGCCTGACGCTTTACTGGATGTAGTTCTGTTTTTAAAATTCCAGAGGACCTGACTGGGATACTGAATTGTATGATGAAGGAAGTGCCACAGTCAGAGAGCTTCTTACTGAGCTATATGGCAAAGTTGGAAAAATTCGTCACTGGGGCTTGATACGATACATCTCTGCGATCTTAAGAAAGAGGGTGGAAGCACTTGATGAGGTACTGAAAATTGTCAAATTTATTCTAAATCTAACTAGAGATGCTCTATAAAAATTGATTTCCATATTTTTTTTCTGACAACCACAGCCTCTACTCTGTTGAGATATTGACTTTCTCATGTGAAGTTTCTGACATTTGAATTTGCTTGTAAATATTAAATATATGTTACTGAACTGTAAGACTTATAGACATAGAGGTTTTATTCACGATAATAATTTTAGATCTTAAGAATAAATGTACATGAGACTAAAGGTTCCTGCCTTCTAGGCAATGAAAAAACTCATTGTCCCTTCCTAGAAACCATTCTTCTCTGACCTTCATTGTATTTCCTGAGGAAGAGAATCTGGTGTTTCCTTTAGTTAAGGGAAAATAAAGGTTCCTAGGAGGTGAAGAGAAATGTTCATGGAAATGTGAGTTGTTATACAAATAATGTTACATTATGTCACTTCTGCATAGGCCTGCACAGACCTTCTGTCACATCAGAAACATTTGACAGTGGGGCTCCCTCCAGAACCTCGAGAAAAGACCATCTCTGCGTAAGTGTGGCACTTGTTTGGGTTTTGTCAAGCTTCTCAGAATGTCTAAATGGCTGTGTAGACTTGCCATCATCCTGATGCCTTAATCTGCCTCTTGGGGAGAATGTTGATAATGATAGCATGAGTGAATCAAACAGGAAATTAAAACTCTATTTTTTATTTGTTTGTTTTGAGATTTTTTTTTCTTTTTTGGTTGATTTTTTATTGCCTTTCCCAACTCAGCTATCTCAAAAACAAAACAAAACAAAAAACCCAGAACACCATGAATTACACCTGCAAATATTCACCATCTTGAGAGAGAAAGGGGCAAGAAAGTGTACAACTGGAACATAGGGCTGATTATGAATCTCCATAGCACTCAAGAAGGGATAAGAGTACAAATCATAGTGAAAGGAAAAGAATGGGTACATGCAAGTATAGTGAAGTAACACCCTTGCAAAAACATTATCATCAGATCATTACTGCCATAGCTTCTAATAGGAAAATGTGCCCTCAGATAGGCTTGGGCTGGAGCTGGTGGGGAGTTGAGTTGCAGGCTGGAATAGAACATTACGTACCCATGAATCTTTCTTTTGCCTCTAGCCATGCCAGTAAAACTCATGTGCACTAAACCTGTTTAATTTCATGTCATGCCAGTGCCAAAATTTAAATCTGCAAGCTGACTATACTTGCATTTCCAAGAAGTATTTTTAGAGGGAGTCTGACTTCATAAGTGATCTGAAAAATCTGTTTTTCTACTAGGAAGTAGTTTGAAGCATGATATCCTCCCTGCCTGCCAGTTCTAATTCTGTAGCCAGTATAGTGAAAAATTTATTTTGTAAACAAAACACGTTCTAGATATAGAGTTAAATCACGAAAAACAAATGAGGGAGAACCAAGGTGTACCTTTGCTGATGCTTGCATGCCACTTCCTTCCTTGTTTACATCCTTGATTTGCATTGGTTCCAAGATCCAGTTGGAATTCCTATATTAAAGCTTAGACAGACATGTCTTGGAACATTTGTCACAGGTTCCATGTGTAAGTCCAAGAAAAGTTTCAGGAAAATCGTCCTAACCTTTGTGTGAGTTTGTTTAGGTTGCCATAACAAACTATCACAGACCAGATGATTTAAACAACAGAAATTCTCTCCTCATAGTTCTAGAGGCTACAAGCTCAAGTCAGGATGTCAACAGAGTTACTTCTTTCTAAAAGCTGTGAGTGGCATAGTTCCATGCTGCCTCCCTCTTTTATTTGTACATGGCCAACTCCTAGTATGTCTCCTCACATTTCTTCCCTCTGTGTATGTCTGTTTTCAAATTCTCCCTTTTCATAGGAACACCAATTATATTGGAATAGGGCCAATCCTGATGACTTCATTTTAACTTAATAACTTAATAAAGACCCCCCATTTCCAAATAAGGTCACATAGTAACATACTAACCATTAGCCTTTCAATATATTTAGCATGATCTGAGGGCTTTGTGTCAATCAATGAGAGTCAGAAGTGTAGAACAAGTGCCTAGCTGTGTGTGTGTGTGTTTTGTGTGCATTTAATAATACTAATTATCATCATAATTTTTTTAAAAAATCAGCATAACACTTAAGTGATGCAATTCTGAAGTCATAAAATGGCTTCCCAAACGCAGTTTATTACATTGTACACGTGAAAGTTGTCTTTTAAAGAAAGGCTAATTTTTGAACGAACCATGACAAAAAATGGTTTAAAAAAAACATGGGATGAAAAGACACCACAGAGTGTATTTTAAGTAAAATTCTTACAGAGGGAGAAAATCTAGATTTAGACAGGATGGAACTCTCCTGAGTTAAGTGATTGGAGCCAAACTGATACATGGAGGCAATGACTGGGCTCTACAGACAGAAAAAAATCAAAACAGCACTGGTAATAAAAAGCTGTTGACTCAGTGACAGACTTTAGAAGAGCTTTTCATTTCAATATATTAGGTGTCAGTGGTTGCATAGTTGCTTTTTTTTTTTTTTTGTCTTCCTTCACTGTCTTCTTCCTCAGACCTCTGCCTTATGAGACACTCACTCAGCTCATAGATGAAGCCAGTGAAGGTGACATGAATATTTCAATCCTTACACAGGTGAGCAGAATTATAAACTCTAACCTAATGGTTGATATTTTAATGTTTGTTTGATCTGGCAATTTACAGACAATAAGATAGGTACTGTAAAACCAGCACCATAATGTTTGTTTATATCCATTGCTTGAACAGGAAATAATGGTATATCTAGCCATGTATATGAGAACTCAGCCTGGCCTCTTTGCTGAAATGTTCCGACTTCGAATTGGCCTGATCATACAAGTTATGGCAACAGAACTGGCCCACTCCCTTCGATGCTCAGGTACGCAATTTCCTAACTATTTTAGATGAAATTCAATTTAATGAAGGTCTGTGGAATGTGAGATCAGGGGAGAAAGAAAAATAACACATTACATACAAAGCTCAGACATTGGGTGTGGCAATCTTGTTTTCATGTTAATCAGTTACTTCTGTCAGTTACTGACAGAATGAGTTTTTATATTAGTCCTGCTATTTCCAAATGCCACCTCTTGGGGGCTCTGCATTCCCTATTTTTCCTAACTCTTCTGCTAGCTTCATTTCTCCTAATTCAAGTGTCCTGACTGATTCAGCAAAGCTTCTGTACAAAGATTGATTCACTGTATCAGTGGATCATAGTGTCGGTGTGCTATCAAAAAGCAGTATTTTACTAAAGTTTATCTGACATGACTCTTTGAAGCTGATTTTAGGTCTGTTTGGCAAGATAACAGTTGTAGAAGAATAGTTGAGGCCTTTGAAATCTGTAAGAGGTGGTGATATTTGTTTTATTTCAACAGTAATACAAAATAATTGAAGCAGTGATGACACCAAAAACTAAAATGCTTACAAAACTCAATTCTAACCACCTTTTCAGTTAAATTTTCCTCAAAAAGACTTCCAACTGAACTATTAGCAACTAATTATTTTACTGACTTGAGTTAAAACCAAATATTTAGGTAACTCTTTAGAGGAAGATAGCTAGCAATTATTATATAGCTACAACATGCCAGACACTGTATGCCATTTGGCTTTCATGTTTAGAAGAGGCATTGTCTTGAACCTTTGCAACAACCCTTTAATACTGCTATTGTTACAACACTTAGCTTAGTGTGGCTTAAGTAGTTTCCAAATACATGAACAAATATATGGATTTGAGTCCTTTGGGGGACTTTTTGAATAATTAATTTAAAAACTATTTATTTTTTATTTTAAATGCAGAATTACAAAAAGAGGAGAAAAGATAGAATCTCGCATCACTTGTTCATTTTTCAAATAAGCGTAATACCCAGGGCTGGACCAGGCTGAAGCCAGGAGTTTCTTTCAGGTCTCCCATGTGGTTGCAGGGACCCAAGCACTTGTGCCATCTTCCACTGATTTCCCAGGTGCATTAGCTGAGATCTGGGCTCGAAGTGGTGCAGCCAATACTCAAACCAGCACCCATATGGGATACAAGTGTAACAAGCATCTGCTACACTACCATACTGGCTTCCATTAGTTTTCCCCCTATTTCCTCTTCGTGTTTTTTAGTTTTGAGGTAACATTTAACATTATGTTACAATAAAAAAAAAAAAACCTTAGTGTTTCACCAAATAACAGATTTAACAATTAAAAAGTTTGAAATAAGACCTACCCACATGGTCGCCTAGTGGTTAAAGTCCTCACCCTGAATGCGCCGGGATCCCATATCAGCGCTGGTTCATGTCCTGGCAGCCCCGCTTCCCATCCAGCTCCCTGCTTGTGGCCTGGGAAAGCGGTCGAGGACGGCCCAGTGCTTTGGGACCCTGCACCCGTGTGGGAGACCTGGAGGAGGATCCTGGCTCCTGGCTCTGGATTGGCACAATTCTGGCCGATGCAGTCACTTGGGGAGTGAATCAGTGGACGGAAGATCTTCCTCTCTGTCTCGCCTGCTCTCTATATATCTGACTTTCCAATAGAAAAAAAAAATAAATCTTTAAAAAAAAAAACCCTAGTTTAGTGGGAATGTAGGCATTACATCAACACTTTGGAGAAGGTATTGTCTCATTTTAGCAGCAAGGAGAAAATCTCAGAGAGGGTGAATAACTTGTGCAAAATAACACAGCTAGTAAATAATGGAATTTGTTTCCAAATGTATCGAATATAAAATGATTTCTAGTTAAGTACTTCATTAAACAGAGTGTAGATACTTCAAAAACATCACAGAAAATGGCATTAAAAGGTATGTTTTGAGTGGCATTTGGACAAATAGTTTGGGTGTTGATTAAGATATGCTGGTCCCCATTGCTGGAATATACACAAAAGAAATGAAACAGCATATGAAAGGGTTACTTATATCCCATTGGCTTTTTTTTTTTTAAGATTTATTTATTTTTACTGGAAAGGCAGATTTACAGAGAGGAGGAGAGAGAGGAACATCTTCCACCTGATAATTAACTCCCCAAGTGGCTGCAATTGCCAGAGCTGGGCCAATCCAGAGCCAGGAGCCAGGAGCTTCCTACAGATCTCCTATGCAGGTGCAGGGTCCCAAGGCTTTGGACATCCTTTGCTGCTTTCCCAGGCCATAAGCAGAGAGCTGGATGGGAAATGGGGCTGCTGCAATTAAAACTGGAGTCCATATGGGATCCTGGCTTGTGCAAGGCCAGAACTTTAGCTGCTAGGCTACTGTGCTGGGCCCTACCCCATTGTTTATAACAGCTGAATTCACAACAGCTAAGATATGAAATCAACCCATAAATCCATCAATTGATGGATAAAGAAAATGTGTATATATACACACAGTGGAATACTACTTAATCATCAAAAATAATAAAATCTGTCTTTTGCAACAGAATGGGTAAAACTAGAGACCATTATGCTTAGTGAAAGAATCCAGATCCAAAAAAGACAAATATCACATTTTTTCTTATTTGTGGTAGATAATGTACAGACTACCAAAAAAGCCTTGCTTGCTCTTTATATACACACATAATCACACACACATGCACATATATATATTAGGGACCAGCATTGTAGTGTATCATGTTAAGTTGTTTATTGTAATGCCACATTTGATATAGGTACTTATTCAAGTCCCAGCTGTTCCACTTTGGGTTCAGGTCCCTACTAATGGCCTGGGAGAAGGAATGAAGGGTGGCCCAAGTGCTTGGGCTCCTATAACTACATGGGAGACATAGAAGAAACTCCTGGCTTCAGGATGGCCCAGACCTGGCCATTTGTGGGATTAAACCAGCAGATGAAAGATTCTCTCTCTCTCTCTCTCTCTCTCTCTCTCTCTCTCTCTCTCTTTGTCTCTGTAACTCTGCTTTTCAAATAATAATAATAAATCTTAATATATTATGTGTATATGTATATATGAGTGAAATTGACACCTTGGAGTTTGATCCTTATTTATTATCCTCACCTTCACTCCTGCTGAACAGTAGTCTATATTCTACTTCTAACATGTTGACCTATTTAGTGGAACATTGGCCCTGTGATGACAAAATGAAATGAAAATATGATGCAAGTTTAAAAAATGGAAAGGAAAGGAAGAAGGAGGAGTGGAGGGAAATACTATGTTCTAGAATTGTACTTATGAGCTACTTTAAAAAGTAATTAAAATTTTAAAAAGATATTCTGGTCCAATATTAGAGTAACTTGGTTCAAGGCTCTGTTCCTGGTTCTGGCTTCCTGCTAATGTAGACCCTTTGAGGTAGTGATGATGGCCAGATGATTGGGTTCCTGCCACCCAAATGGGAGACCTGAATTGAGTTCCAGGCTCCCAGATTTTCTCCCTGCTCTTGCTATTTTGGTTATTTGGAGAATAAATGACAGATGACAGCACTGTTTCTCTGTCTCTTTCTGTCATATATTTTAAAAATAAATAAATAAAACTGTGGATCCCACGTGGTAGCCTAGTAACTAAAGTCTTCAGCTTGCAAGTGCCAGTCTGTCACATAGGCACCTGTTCATGTCCCGGGTGCTCCACTTCCCACCCAGCTCTCTGCCTGTGGCCTGGAAAAGCAGTGGATGATGGCCCAAAGCTGTGGGATCCTGCACCCACATGGGAGGCCCTGAAGAACCGGAAGAGCTCCTGGCTTTGGATCAGCTCAGCTTCGGCTGTTGTAGCCACCTGGGGAGTGAAGAGTGGATGGAAGATCTTTCTCTTTGTCTCTCCTCTCTATAAAATCTCACTTTCTACTAACAATAAATAAATCTCTTTTTAAAACTGTGTATTTATTTTGCAGAATTTTTTGAAACCCATGTGTATGAGAGATATTTTAAAAGTTCATGAAAATACATGTTATGAAAAAAATACATAAATTTCAAAATATTTTCGCCAAATTTATCTTTTGATCTAATTTCCTTGAACTTTTTAAAATACTATTTTATTATAGAGTCTTCTTTAACTGGGCAACCAAGGTATTATTGAAAGATGTTATGGTTGTTTAATAAACTCCCAGTCTTCACTTCTCCTTAATTATCTGTTATGGACATCTTTCCTGTGGATTTATCAAAATTGTGGATCTTTATTTCTCAAGAAATAGTCAAAATCCCTGGATCTGATATTCAAGACCCTCAAAATGTGACCGCAGCCTACTGCTTAAAAAATACTTCTACTAATTTTATCCATCCCTACCCTTAGAAATTGACTCCTCCTCCTAATTTCAAAGACCTTTTTGCCCCTCTCTCACTTGAAACATAGTATATGCAACATTTGATTGTTTATCTTTTTACATGTTCCCAGATAAGCAGCCTCTCAAGATTACATACCCTGTCACATCATTTTTATGCCAATATTGCTCTCAGTGTTTCAGGTTAGTGAACAAATTCAAGATATTCACCCAATATTCTCAATCATTTCACAGGTTTATATATGTTTTCTTTAAAGATTTATATATTTATTTACTTACTTACTTACCTACTTACTTGCTTGTGTATTGCAAAGGCAGATTTACAGAAAGAAGGAGAGACACAGAGAATGATCTTGCATCCACTGGTTCACTCCCCAGGTGGCCGTAACAGCCAGACCTGAGATGATCTGAAGGCAAGAGCCAGGAGCTCTTCTGGGTCTTCCACATGGGTGTAGGGTCCCAAGGCTCTGGACCATCCTCTGCTGCTTTTCCAGACCACACACAGGCAGGCAGCTGGAAGGGAACTGGAACAGCCAGGACATGAACAAGCACCCATTTATGATCCTGGCACTTGCCAGGTGACGATTTCACCACTGGGCCACTGGGCCAGATCCCCATATATGTTTTCTTTAAGTCTCCATAGTTTTGGAGTGACAAGTTTCACTTATTTTAGTCCATTTGCAAATATACACCCATTGCTTATCCTTTAATAGCCTACAGTTCCAACATTCTTTTATTCTTGTCACCTGCTGCTGAGTGCCCTAATGTTGTGAAATGAGAGAGAAGAAATCAATGACCTAGCTAATCCACAAACTGTATAGGCAGTCCTTAAACAATTAGTAATCTTTTGCTGTATGAATAACTATTGGTATAATGATAGAAAGTTATTACTTTGTTCTAATTAAATGACTCAGAAATGCTAAGCAAGAAAGGAAGTAGAGAAAAATAGGGAGGATATGGTGAACAAAGTAGAAATTCTTCTGTCTTAATGTTTCTACCACATAGCTGAGGAAGCCACGGAGGGCCTGATGAATCTCAGTCCTTCAGCCATGAAGAATCTCCTACACCACATTCTCAGTGGCAAGGAATTTGGAGTGGAACGAAGTGGTAAGATCAAATCATGACATTTTGTTTCAGATTACTTGCTTTAAGTGACTCATTGCTTTTTAAATTTTTTTTTTTCAGTAAGAGGAATCTTACCTCAAATCAGTAGAAATCCATTGGATACACCAATCAAATGCAAAGTATATTCTGGATCAAGATTTGGAAAGCACTATATGTCTCATCTTTTTTCTTAAATAATGTACAGATTTAGCATCCCTAATCTGAAAAGCAAAAATCTAAAATGCTCCAAAATCCAAAATTTTGAGTATTGACATGCATCTGATCTCTTATGACAAATCAATGTAAAAATTTAAGTGAATTAAAAGTAATGTATAAAATTGCCTTCAGGCAGTGTGTATAAAACAAGGAATTTTGTGTTAGATTTGGTTCCCATCTCCAAAATTTCTCTCTCTCGTGGTTTTGGCGGTGTTATTTGCTGTTGTGTCTCTCAAGCAACAGAGCGCATGAAGAGATCTTATTTCTCATTCTCAGCTTTCAAAATTAGCATAATGAGATGTGTGTGATCAAATGGATAGATGCCAGATCCTAGAGTGATAAGGAAAAAATTAAAAGGTTAGAAAGCAGTGATGCTGGATCTGGAGATTGAGCTAAAATGCAGGTTCTAATACAGTAGGTTTGGGTTGGGATCTCAGATTCTACTAACAAGTTTCTTCTGACAGTGATGCTGCTGGTAGGTAAGTGGACTATGGTGAGGTCTTACTAGCAGATTTTTTAATTTTGTTAAAAACTAAAATACAAATATATCTTAGTCCCTTAACATGGTAGAGAATAACTTGAATTGGCCACTATGTCTTCAATCTCTCAGTTCGTCCCACTGACTCAAATGTCAGTCCTGCAATTTCCATTCATGAGATTGGTGCTGTTGGAGCAACCAAAACGGAACGAACTGGGATCATGCAGTTAAAAAGTGAGATAAAGCAGGTAAGATACTATTTCATGAGTTAGTTGGAATATTGTCATATTTGAGAACATTCTTTTTAGAGTGAGTCTTTGTTGAAATCACTTATTTTGTTTCATTTGAGTTTAATTTAAGGCATTTATTTTTCAGGTGGATTTTCGTAGACTGTCTGTCTCAACTGAGAGTCAGGTGAAATAGCTAGGGACCCTTGGACATAGTTTAACTTGCCTTTAATTCTATGTAGCATGCATGAGCTCTTCGCCTTTTTACAAAAAAGATAACATACAATGCAACAGCTTGTTTGAATCTCAATTGTAACAATCATCTTATGACTTTCCTCTTTCTGAACCAAGCTATTTTGCTAATTTTAGGAAGAATATAACTTGCATCTGTTATCAAAATATATATGTGTGTATATAGATCTATGTGTATACATATTCCTTTTTTAGAACTGATATGTAATTTTGTATTAATTCTCCCTATAAAACTAAACTTAGACTTGTAAGTTTTAAGAACAAGTACTAAAAAAAAGGAAATCTTTGTAAATCTTTGTTCAGGTGTTTTTCCTCAATTTAACTCTTAGTTTCACCATTAGAGGTTTATGAAAAGGCATTGTAGACACATAGAAAAGCATTTACTTCAGTCTGACAGTTGTTGGAATTCACCAACCAACATATTGCCCTCTCTTACTTTTCCTTGTAGATAAGACTCCGTGAGTTGTTGCACTACACACACATTAAAAAAAACAAGTTTCCCTAGCTTCCTTTAAACTTCTGGAAAATAATATAATTTCAATGTCTCTAAAGTTGAAAAGGTACTAATTTGGTCACTGAAAGATCTCAAACAAAAAGCTTAAAATTACTTCCCTTGCTTCTAGAATATTGATAGCTTGTGATATTAAAATACATCTATAAGAAGAATGTGAACTGGAGGCTTTGTTTTTTAGAGAAATCAGAAATTATTTTGGCAAAGAATGAGTCAGTGCGTAAAGTTTAGTTTGGAATAAACTTCATTTGGGTGTACTTACTAAATACTTTTTACAGCATTTGTATTTGAGCAAGGGCAAGAACAGAATGGAATAAGAAAGGACCTTGAGTTGAAAAATAAGTATTCCCTTTCCAATTATTCCCAGATAAAATGAATAATCTGAACATTTTCCAATTTTAAAGGTAAAAGAATTACATTTTTAGTATTGAAAAAATTGACATTGGTATGCAATCCTTTTTTAGATCTAGAGTGATTAAACTTTTTGTAGTTGTTTATAGTCATACTGTGTTACTTACAAGTTCATTATATATTTAGAACTGGAAGTTTATGTCCCAAGCTAGATTAATATGATATTAAGATTTGACCTGTTCAATTATATCATTTAAGTTTTTTTCTACACATTCACTACTTGCAGGTCTTCAGGGAAAGTCTTTAAGGGGCTATAATTTAGAGAATTAAGAGCCCTAAATTATCATTACTTTCTTCTCAGTATTAATTTTTGTTGCTACTTGCATGCTGATAGTTTATGTTGCTCTAATTTCTTTTCCACCCCTCACCAATGCCCTCTTTTCTGATTATGGGGGAGAAATTAAGATGATTTTCTTAAGTTAATTCTTTATCGTGTCTTTTTTTTTTTTTTTTTTTTTTTTTTATTGTTGCTTACACTGTATTATGTAGTACAGTTTTATAGGCGCTGGGGACTCCCCCCACCCCTCCCCATACCCCTCCCCCCATGGTGGATTCCTCCACCTGTTGCATAACCATAGTTCAAGTTCAGTTGAGATTCATTGCTTGAAAACACATGCCTAGCATAAAGTTCAGCGTCTTATTGTCCAGATAAGTTCAGTGGCCTCTTGGGGAGACCTTCTATGGTCTGAAGATAGGTCTAACAGAGTAAAGATCCGTAGTAAGGATAGGGAAGTCTAGTCCATGGGCCATATAAAGCCTATGAAGTCAGTTGATCTAGTGCTGCCAAAGCAACTGCAGGTCAGAATCAAAATTTTATAGTAGGTTGAATTTTTTTTTTTTGCCTTCAAATGATGTTATAAATATCCAAATGGCCTTGACAGAAAAAAATATATATTTTTTTAAAAGGTTTCCCAGCTCCTGTTACAGGAAGGCTGTTTCATCAGCTTTTTACTAATAATCCTGCTGGCTGGTTGCTTAGTCTGTACTTTTGCTCTACTTATAACTTTTTAAAATATAAGTAATTATTTCTTTGCCTTATCCCTTTAAAATTTTCTTTCTTTTTTTTTTTCCATAGCCCAATGGTGGTCATCCACTGGGAGTAGATTTGATGTCACCATCTTTTCTGGTAACTGCTGCTATCTTTTATTAATGCCATTTACAAGTGCTCTAAATATACTGTTATATAACTCAAGACATACATTGGTTGAGTGAAAAATCAAGAACTAAAATAACTATAAAGTAACTTCAGGGTGGGGTTGAAATATTTCCATTTCTTTTCTAGTAAGGCAGGGAAGGGAGTTCTACTTCATCTTCTTTTCCATTTCAGAAAAACAAAACTTAGTTTAAGGAACAGTTGTTCAGTATGTGTTCATTCATTCATTCCTTCAACTGAGAGAATTTACTATATTCCTGCAATGCACCAAACATTGTGCTAGACAGTGTAAGTATCACCTAGGAACTTCAAATGCAAATCAGAAGTACTGCAGGTGATACCTAGCAAGCTGTGTTTTAGTTACCTCTTTAAATAATTCTGTTGTGATTATTGATTCACTTAGTAATTATCATTTGAGTGCCAGTGTTATGCCAGGTACTATAGCTACAACAGTGAATAAAGCAGATATGTTCTGTGCCCTCATTAAGCTTTTAGTTTAGGAATACTGTTCTTTAAGTACATTTCTTCTATTTGAATCAGTGATTCATAATGGCCTATGATTGCAGATCTCTTAAACTGAAGAGATCTAGGACAAATGACGACTAAACAAAAAATACAAAAATTATTGAAGATAACATTGGTGTTTTCATTAACCATAATTAGATACCCTGTAATGAATTAATAAAACTTGTTGAACTGTGTCAGATCCGTGTTGATAGGATAATAACACACAGAAGAAAATTTAACCTATAAACTCAAAACTATTAATATTTTGTTTTGCAAAAATCCTGATGATACAATATCAGACATATACCCTTTTGAGTTTGACCCCAATCTGAACAGCCTACATTCTTGATGGTAGAGAGCAACAATGAAGATGGATTACATAGCAACCCATCTACTTGACTGATCATTATGATAATCACTTACCAATAGAAATATTTGGGAGTACATTCTTCTTTTGCATAGCAATAGCTGGTGATTTAGACTGGTAACATCCCAAATTAAACTTGGAAAAGCTTTTTTTCTCAGAGGATATTTCCCCTTCTTTTTTTTCAAAAATGTATTTTTATTTGAAAAGCAGAGCTACAGTAAGAAGGAGAGTTAGAGAAGGTCTTCTATTCTCTGGTTCACTCCCCAACAGCCAGAGTTGAGCTGATCCAAAGCCATGAGCCAGGTACCTCTTCTGGGTCTCCCAAGTGGATGCAGTGTCCCAAAGACTCAGACCACCCTCTGCTCCTTTCCCAGGCCATAAGCAGACATTTTTCTATTTTATATTTCTTTTTGAATCTATGTTTTCTCCATTGTATTTCTTTACTTGGTGTAAATTTTCAGTGTTCATGAATCAAAACTTCATGCTTTGTATTGCTGAATAATAATAGTCCATTACATTGATGCATGTTTTATTTATCCATTCATCAATTGATAGGCATCTTGAGTTTTATTTTTCCACTTTTTTGGATCTTATCTTGGTATAAACCTTCATGTATAGCTTTCTGTAAGGATATATACTTTAATTTCCCTTGGATATGTACCTGGGGGTAGAAATGCTCACTCATATGCTAGGTAACTATGTTTAGCATCCTGAAAAACTGCAAAAAGTTTCTAGAGATGTCATTTTGCATTCCTACAGCAATGTATGAAGGTTTCAATTTCTTTACATCCTTACCAACCCTTATAATTGTCTTTGTCATGTATTTGAAAGACACAAATTGGGATCTGGTTCACTCTCCCCAAATACCTGCACCAAACAGGCAGGGCCAGGCTGAACCCAGGAGCCCAGAACTCCTCCTGCTCTCCCACATGAGTAGCAGGGGCCCAAGTTGCTGCCTCCCGGGGTGCACATTAACAAGAAGCTGGCTTGGAAGCAGAGGATATGGGCCTTAAACCAAGCTATCAAAATAGGATATGAGCATCGCAAGTGGCATTTTAACTATTGTGTCAAATGCTTGCTTCTGTCTTTTTTGATTTGTTGCTCATGTTTTTGGTTTCATATCTAAGAAGACTTTAAACAAAACACACATATTTCATGCTGTTTTTGTTCTACCACTTTTATAGTTTTAGAAGTCTATATCGCTTCTTGGCCTTTTGGGTCAGGTAGTTCTTTAAGCTCTATTAGCTCTTTAAGTCTATAGTTGTGATTACATTGCTGTTGTATCCAAGGCCACTCTTATGTTCAGTGATTCACTCAGAGAACTCATAGATCTCAGCATATAGTTGTATGTACAGTTACAATTTACTAAAAGCCCTCATTCAATCCAGGATTCCAGGTATCAGTCATGAGTCAACCTTGTAAGCAGGGCCTTTCAGGATTAGCAGTCCTGAAGAGTGATCTGTTTCGGTTCAGTTTTTGTGTGTAGTGTAAGGTTGATGGTCCAACTTAACTGTTTTCTTTTTTATTAATAAAACAGACATGTAACAATTTACAGTTAGTTGTGGGAGTAACACAAAACTGATCAAGCGAAGCAATTAGCTTTTTCCTTTCTTCACATTTTCCTTGTGTTTATAGAGTTGCAGCTTCTCTATTCTAGTTCTTGATGCCATGTATAATATGAATTATAACCACCCTACTGTACTGTAGAATATTAGAACTTACTACTTGTATCTTACTTAGCTTCTTCTAGTCTATGACTGCTTCTGTTACTTCTTCTAATTGACCATGTTTTCCCAACTTCCTTCTCCCACAATCCCAGCCTGCAGTAATCACTGTCTTCAGTTCAGACTAAAATGTCCACACATGCAAAAGAACACATAGTCTTTCAGTGTCTGGCTTATTTCACTTAACATGCTGAAATAGCATCCTTTATGCAAATATACATCTCACATTTTATTTATCCATTCATTCACTACATTAATTTCCTATCTTGACTAAACAACTACATTAATTTCATATCTTGACTATTGTGATTAGTTCTACAATGAACACGGGAGTGCAGACATCTATTTGACATACTGATTTCCCTTCCTTTAGATATATACTGAAAAGTGAGAAATAAATCATTGTGATAGATCTATTTTTAGTTTGTAAGGAATGTCCATACTGTTCTTCATAATTGCTATGAGGTTCCCTATTCTCCACATTCTCTCCAACATTTTTTTTAATATTTTGTATGGTAGCTGGTCTAACTGGAGTGAAATGATAGCTATTTTATTATGGTTTCACTTTGTGTTTTCTTGATGACTAGTGATCCTTAGCAATTTTTTAATGATTGTTGGCCATTTGTATTTATTCTTTTGGGGAAAAACGGTTATTCAGATCCTTTACCCATTTCTTTCTTTTGTTGTTGTTGTTGTTGCTTGCTTGTTTGTTTGCATTTTGGTTTCCTTACTTTTCTTTTCTTTTCTTTTTAAGAACAGAGGGAGAGAGAGAGATTGATCTTTCAGCCACCGGTTCACTTCCCAAATTGCCATACTGGCTGGGACTGGGCCAACCAGGCATCAGGACCTTCTTATATTATACGATTTCTTTCTGTTTTTAAAAAAATTACATTTATTTATTTTTAAAGATTTGTTTATTTTTATTGGAATAGCAGACAAGATTCACTGAGAGAAGGAGAGACAGGAAGATCTTCCGTCCACTGGCACACTCCCCAGGTGGTTGCAACAGCCAGAGCTGATCCAATCCAAAGCCTGGAGCCAGGAGACTCCTCAAGGTCTCCTACATGGGTGCAAGCTGTCCTCCACTGTCTTCTCAAGCTACAAGCAGGGAGCTGGATGGGAAATGGAGTTGTAGGACATGAACCAGCACCCACATGGGTTCCAAGCACTTGCAAATCAAAGATTTAGCCACTGAACCATCGCATCAGGCCCAAATTAATTTATTTATATGCAGGACAGAATTACAGAGAGAGGGACGCAGGGAGAGAGATCATTTATCTGTTGGTTCACTCTCCAAATGGCTATAATGCCTGAAGTTGGGTTGATCCAGAGCTAAGAAGCTTTTGTCTGCCACATGGGTTCAGGGGTCCAAGCACATAGGCCATCTCCTATGTGGCTTCCAAGAACATAAGCAGGGAGCAGGATTGGAAGTGAGGCACCTGGAACTCAAATTGAAGACCATATGGGACACCAGCACCACAGCCAATGACTTTACCATAGTACCTACTCCATGATTTTTTTTTTTTTCTGTTTTTAAGACTGAATGCTATTCCATTACATATAAGTATATATCTGTTGGCCATTTCAATATCATCTTTGGTGAAATGTCTATTTAAATATAATTTGGTTGTTACTGGTCCTGTATTTTCTAACTTTATTCACTTATGACTTTTTAGTGAATTCCATAGAATTTTCTGTACACAAGATCATGTCATCTTCAGATATAGTCTTACTTTTTCCTTTCCCATCTGGATATCCTTTCTTGCTTTAATTGCCTTAGCCAGATCCTCCAGTATAAAGTTACATTGAAGTAGGGCCAGGTGCAGTAGCCTAGTGTCTAGTAAAGTCCTTGCCTTGCAAGCACCAGGATCCCATATGGGCACCAGTTCTAATCCTAGCTGCTTTACTTCCCATCCATTTCCCTGCCAGTGTCCTGCGAAAGCAGTAGAGAATGGCCCAAGACCTTGGACCTGACCCTGCACATGCGTGGGAGAACTGGAAGAAGTTCCTGGCGTCAGGCTTTGGATCAGCTTAGCCCCAGCCATTGCAGCCACTTAGGTAGTAAACCAGCAGACAGAAGATATTTTTCTCTGTATCTCTGACTTTCCAATTTTAAAAAAAAGTTATATTGAAGTAGTGAGAGTGGGTATCCTTCTCATGTTTTGACACTAGGAGAGTGTCAGGCTCTGGCTATTTGTTTTTATAGCTGTGAGTTCGTGAAGGAAAAAAGTCTAACCTTTAATTATATTGGCATAATTCCTTTTTATTCCTAATTTGTTGAGTTGGGGTTTTTGTTTTGTTTTTAAAGCCAGAAGACATGTGTTTAGTTAAAATTGGGTTTTTTTTTTTCTGCATCTGTTAAGATGATGTGGATTCTATCCATTGTAATATTGCTATTACATATAAAATTCATATTCAAATATCAAAACAACTTGAATAAACCCCACTTCCTCATGTTGTATAATCCCTTTTGTCACTGAATTCAGTTTACTGGATTTCCCTGAGATGTTTTTGTCTGTTTAACTATCAGGAACAATTTTAAAAAGTGTTCTTTTCTCTATTTTTGCGGGGGGAAAGGATGGGGGAATGGGAGGAGGGTACTGAGAATTTGTCAAGAACCAAAATCAGTATTAATTCATCTTCAAATATTTTGTATAATTAACTAGCAAGATCATCTGTACCTAGATTTTTCTTTGTAGAAAATTTTCTACTAATTCAATAATTTTAATTGTTACAAGTCTACTCAGATTCTCTGTTTCCTTTTTAATCATATTGGATAATTTGTGTCTTTCTAGGAATGTGTCCATTTTAACTAAGTTACATAATTTGTTAGCACATGATTGCTTGATAGTATATCCTTATATTTCTTATTATATCTGTAAGATCGGAATTCATGTGCCTAATTTTGTTTCTGTTTATTGTTAGCCCATCTAACTAAATACTTTCCCATTTTCTTCAGATTTTCAAAAAAAAATTTTTTTTGGTTTAATTGATTTTCTGCACTATTTTTTTGTTCTCTATTTACTTCTTTCTATTCCAATCTTTATTATTTTCCTCCATTTGTTCTTTTTTCATTATCATAAAATAAAGGATTTTTTTTTTTTTTTTGGAAAGGCAGATTTAGAGAGAGACAAAGAGAAAAATCCTCTATCTGCTGATTCACTCCCCAAATGGCCTTGGCAGGGCTCGAGCTGACCCAAAGCCAGAAGCCAGGAGCTTTTTCCAGGTCCTCACATGGATGCAGAATCCCAAGGCTTTAGGCCATCCTCTGCTGCTTTCCCAGACCACAAGCAGGGAGCTGGATGGGAAGTGGAACAGCCGGAACATGAACCGGTGCCCATATGGGATGCTTGCGCATGCAAGGCGAGTACCTTAGCCACTAGGCTACAGTGCCAGGCCCAAGACTTATTTATTTTAAAGGCAAAACATTAGAGAGATAATTGCAAAGAGAAAAATTTGTCAATCTGCTAGTTCACTCCCCACATGTTCATAATGGCTGAGGCAGGCTCGGGCAAAAGCCAGGAGCCTAGAACTACATGTTTGACAAAATTCCAAATTCTTGGGCAATCTTCTACTGTTTTTCTAGATACATTAGCAGGGAGCTGGATCAGAAATGAACCAACTGGCCTGGTCTTGAACCCTACATAGGATTAACCCCCTCCTCCACAATGCCATAGCCAATACTGAAATGTATAACAAATTTGTCTTTTAGCTGTATTCTATAAGTTTTGATATGTTGTAATTTCATTTTCATTAGTGTCAGTATTTTTAATTTTTTCTCCAGTGCATTGGTTATTTAAGAGAATATTCAATTTCCACATATGAGTGGTTTTAAATTTCCTTCTGTTACTTATTTCTAATTTAATTATGCTGTGGTTAAAGACATACTTTGTGTGATTTCAGTTCTTTTAAATTTATTAAAGCTAATGTTTTGCCACCTATGAGAGCAATAAACTAAGCCAAAGACCATGTAGAATTTTAGCAGCTATAATCAGATAATGAAAGTTAGGTATCAGCGAATTATCTGAAAGGTTTATATCAGTTTGCAACAGTACCAGTATACTTCAGTCGGCTACCCTTCTTGCAAGCTTTCTGTCTTGACTGTTTCACTTGATATGTATTGTATAATCCTGTAGTGTATTTATTGTTCACTGTGATATAATACTTCATCAGAGAAACAAAGACTTACATTCTTTTCTCTATACTTCTCCCAAGTCACCCGGAACCTCCATGACTACAAGTAGTGGATCTCTTCCTAGTCTACCTGACCAACAGACATCTAAAGATAGCCGTCAAGGTCAATGGCAACGGCGAAGAAGGCTGGATGGAGCACTAAATAGAGTCCCAATTGGATTTTATCAGAAAGTGTGGAAAGTTTTACAGAAAGTAAATATAACTCGTTGTGAATGTCTGTTTGTTTTTCCTTCTGAAGTCCTCGGTCTGTTTCAGTGAATAGATGATGAAATTGTGTGTCACATACTGCATTAAAAACTAGAAGAAAACTAAATGGAACAAATGATTTGTCACTTTAGCATTATTAGCAGTTTAGTCTCTTTCCACTGTTTTTGCTGTAGTGCTGTTTCTAAATTAGATATTTTATTTTTTTCCCTTGAATACTTTTTTGGTACTAACATTTTTTTTAATTTTATATATTTTTATTATTATTATTTTATGATACAGCTCCATAGGTCCTAGGATTTCCCTTATCCCCTCTCCAATTCCCTCATCCTCACTGAGTTACCCTATATCTTTACTATAGTATAGTTCTTCATACGCAGTCATGTCCATCATTGCAGGAATGGACAATGGCAGAGAGTCCAGCATCCTATTGACAAGATACAGTAAACAATTTCATTGGGAGTCCATCTCTGTCTGGAAGTAAAGATGCATAGTGCATTGTATCCTCAAGTCTGGATATGATAGTCTCCACTACACAGTTACTATACATCCCTTTAAATGAAAAGCCACAATGCAAAATCAATAATAGGAAGAAAGATAGAAATTTACTATGCCATAAAGTTAAATAACATGCTGCTAGATATGATAGTCTCCATTACACAGTTACTCCCAGTAAAATAACAATAGAAGACTAAATCAATGAACAACCCATTGTTAAAATGACAGGATCAAATTGCCACCCATTCATATTAACACTGAATGTAAATGGCTTAAACTCATCAATCAAAGGTCATAGTTAGTAGACTGGATTAAAAAACGAAACCCATCTACTTGTTGCCTACAGGAGACACATTTCACCAACAAAAACCGGTGGAAACTATGTCTCATCGATTTTGATTTTTTTGTTTTTGTTAGTTTCATCTCTTCAAAGCAGTTTCTTCTGATTAAATTCTTCAGTGACTCATAGATCATAGAGTAGCATCATTATCTTTAAGAAGGTTCTTGAGTGTCATTTCTTCAGCGATACATTAGTCATTCAGTAGCATTTATTTAACTTCATGGTGTTGTTAATTTATTTTTTTCCTTCCTGTTGTTGATTTTGTTTAGTGGCTTTTCATTGAATTAAATATTTTAAATCACCACTTCTCTACTTTGGGCCATAGTTAGACACTATGGAACATTATGATACATCTGTTGCTAATCAAATGAATTGGGGTACTAAAGTGCTAGCTTCCTTTATAGCCACTGGCGTTTGTATGTTTTGTGATAGAATCAAAACCTAGACTTGACATCCCAATTTAAGAGGCAAAATACACACCCTCTGGGGTTTTTTGTTGTATTCCTTTCAGAGTGTAACACTAGTCATTTTGCATGTACATTTAAATATTAATACTTTTCTGTGCAGAATGTTGCTTGGTATATGTATTATGCAATGAAAAATGTCTAGGAAAGTCAGTAAACCTATTACATTGGACTCCTTATCTGTGATTGTTATAACATATAGTGTTCGATTTACTGAGAATCTAAGAAGTCATAAACTCCGAATGCTTGTTTTTTTTGTTTTTTTTTTTTTTTGGATGCTTCTTTACGATTACACTGATAGCAAATAGGAACCTTAAAATTTCATTCGTTTGCATAGTATTTGTTGAACATCTGTGTACCAGGCACTCTACTCATTTCTCATTCAGCAAAGACCAAAACAGACAATAGTCTCTGTCTTTGTGGAACTTGCATTTTACCAGGAAGAAGCAAACAATAAATAACAAACACACAAAATAGGTAATACATAGAAAGGTTTTTAAAGGTGATAAACACTATGGAGAAAAAATAGAGGAGTATAAAGGTATGTATGGGGGAATTGAATGCTTAAATAGAAACTGTGGTAATACACAGGTTTGAAAGTGTATACCTTGAGCATTTCCTGCAGCCTAAAATATTTCTGAAGGCACGATTGTACTGGAATCCAACATAATGTCCTCCCAGGTATCTCTGAACATTTCCAGGTTGTCAGTGCCAGCAGGAAGATCTGGCCTAACCTGTTCCACACCCCCCAAGTAAAGGATGAACCTTGTGTCTCCAATGCTCCAACCTTGCATCTTGGCACTTAAAGATCATGTCCCCATGGCAAGAATATATGGCCTCTTGACAGCTGGCTGGCTTGTGATTGGTCAGCCTATACCCTGTGAAGTATAGCTAGAAATATGGGTCTCCGGATCAAACCCGTATGGTGCGATGACCACTGCTTGTAAGGCCTGTACCCTATGTTGAAGTACTGGACCTACCTTCTTGCTAACATACCTACAAAGCAAGTACTTGGGTCCCTGTCACTCATGTAGGAAGCCCAGACTGAATTCCTAGCTCCTAACCTTGACTTGGCATGGCAGTTGTGTCCATTTGAGGAGTGAGCAGATGAAAGATATTTCCCTATCCCTCTCCTTCTGTCATCCTGCTTTTCATATAAAATAAATAAACCTTTAAAAAAAAGAAATAAATACATATCTGCTGTACAGGTCACCATATTTTTCTGCCTTGCAGTGTCATGGACTTTCTGTGGAAGGTTTTGTTCTTCCCTCTTCAACCACTAGAGAGGTAAGAGTCTGTGTCCTTCACATTTATGTGACTGATTGCTCACTTGACCAAAATATTTCAGCAATCACTTTTCAAAGTAACAGACCTATGCCTTTATAAGTCGACTGAATATTAAATGCATTTGAAGAAAGGAAAGAATTTGTTAAATTGAATCTAAATACCATATAATAATTATGTATCCCATTAACTACGCAAGTATGGCTTCTTTTAATGACCGATTAAATTCATCTGACTTATGTGAATGTTCAAGAGGGCAGAAAGGATAGAAATCTGAGAATCAATGGCTTCTCTTGTTCCTTCCCCATCCTTATCATTACCACCTCTTTTTTAGGGTGCTTATAGAGCATTATAGCATAAAGCAGTGACCCTCATCTCTCACTGTACAAACTGAGCAAATTGGACTCCCCTAGCCAACTTAGTGGATTAGAATTTTTCAGGGATGGGGCCTGAGGATCTGTAGGTTAAAGAAAAAAGTCTATAGGACAATTCTGATACACCACCGCCATTGGAAAACACTATTGCAAACCACAGATATAGATTATTAGAAGCCTTCATATTCTTTTTGTGGGAAAAAAAGTGGTTTTTTTGGTCCAAATCCACCATCTTCCCTATTTGTGTTCTCTTTGTCTTTAAATAAAGTTGGAATTTTAACAAATTTATAATGCACTCATACCTAAATAGCACCTTTAAAAATCTTTAAAGTGCTCTCTCATTATTTATTTTGATCTTCAACACAAGTGTGTGAGATAACTAAAGAATGAATGATCTCCTTCAATTTACAGATAGAGGGTACACCATTGTGGCACAGAGGGTTAAGCCTCTGCTTGTGACTCCGGCACCCCACATTTGTGTAGGTTCCAGTCCTAGCTGCTTCATTTCTGATCCAGCTCATTGTCAAAGTGCATAGGAAAGCAAAAGTTGGTCCATGCACTCTTGTGGGAGACCTGGATGTACCTCTTGGTTCTTAGCTTCAGCCTGTCCAATCCCAGCCATTGTGGTCATCTGGAGAGTGAAGCAGTAAATGAAAGATCTCTTTCTCTCTCTCTCTCTCTCTCTCTCTCTCTCTCTCTCTCTCTCTCTCGCCTTCTCTTTCTCTCTCTCCTCATTTCCCTCACTCTTTATGTAACTCTGCTTTTCAAATAAATAAAAATAAGGGGGAAATTTTAGAGACTTTTCAAAATCAAATAACTAGCAAATGGCATCCCAAGTCCACATCACTGCTCAGAGCACATACTCATTACAACTTCACCAATGATTATTCCTCCATCCCTTCACCCTATAATGACATCACAGGTCCTAAGATCTATTTTATTTTAATAGTACTTAGATGTTTTATGTAATTCTAATAGTCATGTATGTACAATTTTAAGTTCTAATTAATTTTCCCTTTCCCTTTATTCTTTAAATGATTCCATAAAAACTCATCTGGTTGCTAATGCTGTGCTATGATGTTATTTATATAAACATTCCTATGTTTAGGTTACTTCTAGTTTTACATGTATGACTAATGTACAGAGTGGAGGTTTTATTCCCCATTCTTTGAATTACCTCCTTAGAATGAACTGCCAGAAATAGGATTATGGATTACAGAGCACTGACACTTTTATAACTCTTGTTCTGCACTACCAGATTGTCTTTCAAAGAGACTGAACCAGTTTACTCAGTTAAAGGGGGCTGAAGCACTGCCTGCAGCTGTTGTGTTGTTTACTGCCATTCAAAACAGGTGAGCGACGCCTCCTGGATGATGGACTCTCAGTATGCTATTTTCTCTCTCACAGATGACTCCAGGAGAGATTAAATTCTCTGTTCATGTGGAATCTGTCCTGAATCGTGTGCCTCAGCCAGAGTACCGCCAGCTTCTGGTTGAAGCCATCCTTGTTCTCACCATGCTGGCAGATATTGAAATTCATAGCATTGGAAGCATCATCGCTGTGGAAAAAATAGTGCATATTGCCAATGACCTGTTCCTTCAAGAACAGGTAGATAAACCTATTTTTCCCCTCAAAGAAAATTGTTTGACAGTAACCTGTACTTCAGAACCCTTCATAAAGACTATGTCACTTTCCTGTCCCTCTATCATAGCTCTTTTCTGGATCTCTTTTATAGGATCTGCAGCAATGAAGTAGGCTGCAGGATGACTTCTGTCTTTTATCATATATTCTGTGGTTTGTGTTAGATGCTTAAGTTGCCTGGAACTTATGTATTACTATTTTCCCTGAAAGCTTTGAGGCATTCATAACATATTCCAGTTTTCTGATCACAATGCTTTTTATGGTGCTGAGAAATTGATAGGAGACTATTTGTTAGCATATCCTGACTATTAAGGGGGAAAAAAAAGATACTTGAGTTGCTTTACTTTTACTTTTGCTACTTCCCTAATGAAAGCTATAGAAAACTTCTATTTCTGCATTTGTCTTATTTTAAAATAAAACTTCTGATAAATTAATCCTATTAAAAATACAAGTATTGAGAAAAAGTATTCCAAGTTTTGCCCAGAATGAGCAAGAATGCAAAAGGAGGACATCACTGTTGTCAGTAGGAAAATCTCCAAATCCTACTGTGAGGTGAAAGAGAAGTATCCAGAATTTCCTGGACAGTCCTGATTTAAAGTATTCTGTATTCCTGTCAATACCTGTATCAGAAAAAAAGTGTGATCCCTCTCAGGCATAGACTCTAGCCTTAGAAAGATTATGGGCTGCGCATGAAGTTGACTTAGAAAGAAATCATGGTCAAACACCAGATGAATTAATACATACAAGCTGAAATCAATAGTACTAGACAGAGTCAGGCCAAATCCTACTGTTATGATATATGTTTCCTACTGTTATGATCCATGTTATCATTTGCCTCTTAACAGACACAATTCATTTAAGTATTACTGTATAATTTACTTTCAAAAATGTATTGTAATGAGAAAAAATGTGAAGCAATAACATGATAGTAATTATCGTGATTTAGAGATCTAGTGAAATCATATGTGTGGAAACTCATTTTCAGTTTTGCATGCGTAATCTTGACCCTTTTCTGGCTAGGCAAGCTAGGCACTAATTAATTGGTTTGGAGAGAAGGCTCTTAGTTATACTGATTAGGACTTAACTTAGTGAGATCAGTAATTTTTCCTTTCCTCTTTGTTCTCCCCCTTCCTTAAAAAATACAAACAGAAAACCCTTGGCGCAGATGATATCATGTTGGCAAAGGATCCCGCATCTGGCATCTGTACTCTTCTGTATGACAGTGCACCCAGTGGCAGGTTTGGCACCATGACCTACCTCTCCAAGGCAGCCGCCACCTACGTGCAAGAATTCCTGCCCCATAGCATCTGTGCCATGCAATGAAGGCCTTGGGTCCTGGCTTTTGAAAGAGCCTTAGAAAGTTGTTGTTGATTGTGCATGGACATGAAATGTTACCACCTAATCACTCCCACTCTGCCTCTTTCCTCTATCCCATTCCTCCTGAGAAGAGAGAACGTCTCCAGTAAGCTAACTGCTTTATAAGAAGTGAACACTACTCTAAGAGCTCTCTTCCAATGTGTGGATGTTCAACCATGCCTATCTTAGCAGCTTGACTTCTCTCATGGTTCATAAAAGTTTGCATGTGTTTTTATTCTCTAGACCTGTTACCAACTTAGTTTTCTAACTCCTGTTTGGGGAGCAGGTATTAATAATAATTTATTCTAAAAGTTTGGTTTCTTTTCCTTGTTGTGGTTTTATTGTGTGTATGTGTGGTAGAGGTTGTGGGACATAATTTGAGAAAACACTATGTGGTTGAATTTTATGAGGCCATAATTGAGAAATATCTATCCTAAGTGCCTTTGTCAGGTGAGGGGGGAAGGGGTCCTTGTTCTCTCATAGGCTGACTCACATTGACTGGCAAATTGTTGCTGCTACGATTATTGCCTCTGTATCTGTACACGTAACGCTGAGTCCTACTATATAGTAAACTACCAAACGCAAATGTATCATGCATGTATAAGGATTTTTGTATTAACAGTTGAAATCACATTTCATGAAGATCTTTGATACTCAGAGATATCTTTACAACAGGAAAAACAGAATAACCCAGAGAAGCAGAGACAGGTGCCTGATTGCATAGAGGAAGGGAAAGGAGAACAGCTGTAACAGTATCTTACACATGGATATCAGTGAGGGGCTAGTTCTCTGATGAAAACTTTGATCATCTAAGTCTTACCTCTGAAGAGTGCACCAGCACACAGCAGAGAACAACTGAGGCCCCTGTCTTTAGCAAAGGAAATCCAGTAGTCCAGTCTATTGCTGCTCTCCTGAGAACTCTGTTGGTATTATTGGACTCTGTCTCATCCACCTGCTTGCTTTCTACCACAGCCAAAAACCTCCCCAACTCCTTGCTTTCTCTCTAGTGTTCATACCCCTATATATCATAGTAGCACTAGACATATATCTGTTTTGTGTGTCTGTGATAGATGGGACATTTTCTGAATGTAAGTAATTTTGATACATCTGCATATCTTGTATGTCTACATTTGATGGGCCAGGTCAGCATGTAAATATGAATTATGTCTGTGAGGAGGGTATTGTGACTGTGGTCTCCAGCTGAGAAGCAGTAGGCAACAGAGGAATCCCTTCTAATCTTCCCTGGACATGTGGAAGTATAGCCTTCCTTGACAGGTGCTTCTCCTAGATTTGCTTCTGTCAGTTGGTGGCAGATTTCCCTGTTTGCATTAAGGTGACTTCCTAATTCAGTCCCCGTGTTTCCCTCAGATTTTAAGAGTTTTCTCCAAGAAGACAAATGGAGAGGGTGGGGATGGGAAATTCTCTAGCAGGTCCAGTGACAGTCCTGTGAGTATACCGAATAAGTGAGCAGAGTACGCTTGTCAAAAGCAAATGGTGGGAACAAAGACAGAGTGGCCCACCTTTTCAGGACCTCTCCCAGAGCAAACAGAATCACATAGGAAGTCCTTTTTTTTTAATTAAATGACCTTCTGATCACTCCTAAATAACATTTACAGCCTCTTTGGAAACTCTCTTTTCACTGGCAACAAGTATAGTCCAAGAGGAGGAAGCACATTTGCAGTGGCCACCAGCCAGTGCTATCATTCCTGCTGGCAGTAGTGGCCTGAACTGACACCGATGGCTGCATTTCTCTGAGTTCACTCAATGTCTGTCATGATGATCACCACACAGTGCTATTTTACATTTAAAATGACATTTTACAAAGCTCTACTGTTGTTTGTTCACTTTGAGCATGTACTACTAAAAAAAGATGTTAGGCTTTTTTTGCAAAAAACAATGTCTTCAAAATAGAATAAAGAATATGAATTTCTAACTAAATCAAGTTTGGTGCCAGTGTACAAAATTTTGTATACATTTTTGTCATTAGAGTTTATTCCATGGCTTCATTTTGCATATACTGTTTAACTACATGATATAATAGGTGCTCATTGTTTAAGTCACAAGTTGTACATATATCACATACTATGCACATGATATGTTAGATAATATTTTGAAAGGCAAGGTTCAGAGCTGTGTGTGCCCAAATGCGATTCACTAAATTCAAATGGACCTATTTGACGTCTTCAGGGAAATTGTTCTGATGCATCAATAAAACCCTTTCACACAGTATTTTTTTTTTCTGAAGGATTTATTTATTTTTATGGGGAAGGCGGATTTACAGAGAGAACGAGAGACAGAGAGAAAGATCTTCCAGCAGCTGGTTCACTCCCCAGATGGGCACAACAAGAGCTAAGCCAATCCAAAGTCAGGAGCCAGAAGCTTCTTCTGGGTCTGCTATGCGAATGCAGGGACCCAAGACTTTGAGCCATCCTCCACTGCTTTCCTAGGCTATGAGCAGGGATCTGCGTCAGAACCATAGCATCCACAACATGAACCTGTGCCTATATTGGATTGTAGCACTTAAAGGGAAAGTATTAGACAATTGAGCCATTGTGCTGCCATCTCCCCCAACACACACATTGCCCTCCCTCCCTGCCCCCTAGCATTGCAACTGTGTACAAATAGTACTTTTACACTACTGGGGGTACTGAGAAGCAGTTTATTCTCCTAAGTACTTCTAATTATTTGGCAGAATCTTGTTTATGTTAATTAGTCTTTCCCATAACAAGAGTTTCTCCAGCAAGGAACAGTATCCCTGCAGTTTCACTCTGGTTAATTAGTTTTGACAGTATTCCAGAAATTTTGTGCAATTGGCAGGCAAAATGTGTGAAGTCACCATTCACAAAACTTCTACCATTCCTTTTTTTTTTAATTAAAAAAAGTTTTTTTGAAAGATTTATTTATTTATTGGAAAGTCAGATATATAGAGAGGAGGAGAGACACAGAGGAAGAACGTCCATCCGATGATTCACTCCCCAAGTGAGCGCAATGGCTGATGCTATGCTGATCCAAAGCCAGGATCCAGGAACTTCCTCCAGGTCTCCCACACGGGTGCAGGGTCCCAAAGCCCTGGGCCATCCTGGACTGCTTTCCCAGGCCACAGACAGGGAGCTGGATGGGAAGTGGAGCTGCTGGGATTAGAACTGGTGCCCATATGGGATCCCGGCATGTTCAAGGCGAGGACTTTAGCTGGGCCCTATCATTCCTTTTTGTACCTACCAAATACCTGATCTCTGTACTAAAGCCCTGGGACAAATACAATATTTTTCACCTTTAGTCCACATTTCCATTTTAATGTTAATGATCCAGGTCTTGATTTATCCGTGATTGTCAACATTTCCAACAGTTTTCTGACATAAATAAATAAATATTAGTAGCACTCTTTGTGACCCTTAGAAATACCCCAAACTTGAATGCTATGATCACCTTATATTTAACAGACATCTGTTTTCCTTTAAGGCCTAAAAGCTTAGGACTTACTTTCAAACCACTAACTAGTCTTTCAATAGAGGTACAGAAGTATGGATAACAGTGGGAGGAGACATTTTAGGGAAAAATAGGGAATAATTGGTATTATGGTTCATAAAACAAATAACCAGGGTTGATGCCATGGGATAGTAGCTAAGCCGCCACCTGTGATATCAGCATCCCATATGGGCACCATTTAAAGTCCCAGGTCCTCCACTTTGGTCCAGCTCCCTGCCAATAGCCTGGGAGAACAGCAGAGGAGGATAGCTCAATTCCTTGGGCCCCAGCACCCACATGGGAGTCCTCGAAGAAGCTGCTAGATCCTACCTTCAGATTGGCTGTACTTCAGTCATTGTGGCTGTTTGGGGAGTGGATCAGGGAATGGAAGACCAATTTATACAACTCTGCCTTTCAAATAAAGATAAAAACTAAATTTTAATTAACATATAGGTAATATCTTGGTATTTACCAAATACCAGATGTTATTATATGGGCACTTGGCACAGGGCATCTAATCTTCACAATTGCCACATAAGGCTATTATGGTTGGCATCCCCGTCTTTCAAGTAGGGTAGTGAGACACTAAAAGTTCCGGCAAATGATCTGATGTTAATCAGGTAATAACGGATACAACTGGGATTTGAACCCATATCATCTGACCCTAGAATTCACATTCTTTTTCTAAGATTTATTTACTTGAAAGGGGGAGTGGTATAGGCACAGAGAGGCAAAAAGAGGTATCTTCTTCTGCTGGCTCACTCCTCAGATGGCTACAACAACCAACTCTCAGTCAGTTCAAAGCAAGGAATCAGGAACCTCTACTTGGTCTCCCATTTGGTTGGTAAGAATCCAATCACTTGGGTCATTTTTCACTCCCTTCCCAAACACATTCATGTGAAGCTGGATCAGAAGCAAAGCTGCTGGAACTCCAACTGGCACTCTGACATGAGATGCTGGAAATGGCAAGCAATGATTTAACCCAGTGTTCCACATGTCAGCTCAATGAAATTCACATGTTTAACAAATACACTCTCTGAGGAAAAGAAATTAGGTGGCAGTGTGAAAACAAGTATCATTTGCATACAGCCGAAGTATTAGTGAACAATATATATAATGAGTAATAGGCAAAAGGGTAGTGCCCTTTTAATGCATTTGCTTTGCTTTTTACCTGCTTCTGCAAGCAACTGAAAGCAGGGCTGAGCACAGCAATATGTATGTAAATATGAACGTTACATGTGAGAGAGTTGTGATTGTGCTCTCCAACTGACTTATAAAGGTAGTAGAGGAACATACGCAGCCCAACTTGGCCTTCCTAGTTCAAATATTACAGTTAAGCAATAATTATTGGGCAAAGTGAGTCTAATAAATTAACCAGGGTCACCATCCTCACAGGTTTTGGAGCCAAAATTCAACTTACTTCCTGTGGCGTTGAGTCTTAGAACAACAAATCCAGTGCCTTGGGAATGGCTTTCCCAATTTCAGAACCATTTGGTATCAGTCATGTGAAAAACTGAGGATAGGAACCTGAAGCATGAATTGTGCTTTGCCTCAATCATGACCAAGTGTGTAGATGCCCTTTGAGATTTGTTATTTGAAAAACAAGATGCCAAACCAAACTAGTGTGCAGCAATTCATCTTTCTCCATACTTGAATCACCTCTCCAGATTGGGTGCCATACTAGGATACTGTTTCCAGTTTATAAATAATTTCCATGTGTTGCAGGGTTCAGCTATCTGTAACAACAGATATGTGAAATAAATTTGAAAGAACAGCTAAAACAATCTCTTTTCATGCCATATGATTGAAGTCCAAGATTTAAGGTATTAGTTGTCTGAACT